TACATTGATTTTTCACAAAGTAAGAAGACTTGGTACCCATTTCTGCCTCCATATCTCTTATAACTCCATATCCATTATAATCGTTTTCAGTGCTGACACCACTATGGCTCTCTAGGGGCTTGTAAAAGAAAGACCAGTATGACCTAGAACTTGACATAAAAGCAATTAGAACAAGGCATGGTGGCATATGCCTTCAATCCCAGCACCCTGGAGGCAGAGGCAGGCAGATCCTCAGAACAAGTTCCAGGACTATACAAAGAAACCTTGTCTCGATAAACTAAAACCAAACGAAACAAAAACCTCTGGAGGCTGGGTTCTTACTCTGGGGAGCCCCACCCCGTTCCTCATAGACCCAGCCTCAGTATGAGCTCCATCAGGGTACACAAGCTTATTTCTTGTCTGTAGCTTCGATTGCCTATGGTCCAAAGGTAAGCCACTTACCTAAACCTAAGAATCTGAAGACGTTTATACTCAGGTCTTTAAAGGGATAGATACCTCGAGGAAATGAAGGGAACCTCGCCACCTGGTGGCACTCATGGTATGCCACAATAAGGTGGCCGGCCCCTTTTGGTCTGAAGACAAAAGCTTTTGTCCAGACACTTCTCCAAAACTGTAGAGCTGACCTTTCCTCTGGGATCACTGTCACTTAAAACGCCATGCTTTGGCCAGCCCCCGCCCCCCCAGTCTGGTTAAGCCGGAATGGCAGTTTTGTCTTTATCCTTCAAGTTGGGAGGTTTGCTGGACTGGAACTCAACAAGGGATGGACAGTCCCTGACCCCTCTGCCTGCATTTATTTCCTTTTCCAACAGATAAGTATTCGTGCCTTTTAAAAAAGGACTCATGATCCTCCACAAAGCCATCATTCTGGAATATTCTCTCCACCGTTGCTTCCGGCGTCATAAGCTTTAGATTTTAACAGAGGAAAGAATATGTAGGCATGCTTCTTTAAACAAGTCATGGAGTTTAATGGTGCCCATGAACTGAATCTTTGAACATCTAGTCATGTGTGTCTGGGTATGTTGCATTCTTAAATATTTAATTTCTAAATCACAGCATTTTGATGTTTTGGTAAATATGTGTCCTCCAGGCTGCCTACTAATTACTTGAGGAAATTAAAATGCACACACAAAAAGATCCCTGGGCACCACTCCAAGATTCTAATCTTGTTGGTTTGTGGTTGAATCCAGGCATGAGCATTATAAAATTCTCCCCAGGAGACTCTGGGGCAGAGTGACCCTGGGGACCGTGGTTTGTGGACCATATGGAAACAACAAACGAGGAATGACTGTGTTCAACATAAAAAGCAGAACTCAGAGGCTGCTTCGCTTGCCAGCCCAGCAAACAAGAGGGGGCTGTGCATTTTCCCTTTGATGGAGACTTGGGGACCAAGAATTAAAATAGTGCCCAGTTGTTTCTGCCACCTAAAACATTAAGGCTGGGGTGTCACCCGCGTTAGGGCACATACCTACTGGGAGCAAGACCCTGGGCTTAGTTCTCAGCCCTGCATCCTCCCAAAGTTAAACTGGATCAATAATCCCAACTTAGGACTCAAAACATAAGTCCCAGTGACAAAGATGTTCATTGTCATTTGGTTTGTAGCGACAGGTGACAGGAAGCAGTCTGGTGATCAGATGTTATGATCTAGTCACTCGGTACAATGTGCAATGTTTTTATTATTTTAAACCTTTTTGTATGTCATGCTTATATTATTGTTAATTGATGCTTTTAGTTAACTGCAAAGTAATGAGTTTCTTATGACACCTTCATACATATCATTGCACAGTGCCCTCCATGTTCCTGTTCCTGTCCCTCCTCTCACTGGTCCCTTCTCCCCACCAAACAGTCCTTTTTCTGCTTTCATGTCATTCACGTGTGTGTGTACATATTGTTAAATCTGACTTGGCATTTGAGAAAAAAAATGTTTCTTATCATTTCCTCCTTTCTTGTTCTTTCCAACACCATTCTGTGTGTGTGTGTGTGTGTGTGTGTGTGTGTGTGTGTGTGTGTGTGTGTGTGTACACGTGTGCGTGCGCGTGCATGCATGCACGTGTGTGGAGGTCAGAGGACAGCTCGCACGAGTGGAACCTCTCCTTTCACTGTGTAAGTCACTGGGATCAAACTCAGGTTCTCAGGATTTGGGGCAAGTGCCTTTACCTTCCACCTTGAGTTTTCAAATTTTCTCCATTATTATTTCTTTATCCTATTAACTTTACCTATATGGCTACTTATTAATTCTATTATTGATTTGTCAATTAACATTAATATACTTAATGTTGATATTCATTACATACAGTACTTTACTAAGTACCAGGGGTATAATTTTAGGCAAGACTGACTGTATTTTGCTGTTACAGTGCTTGTATTCTAATGAGAGGAGGCAAACTTGAACATGGTAGATGTGAAGTCCGTTTGTGGTTTGTAGAGGCTTGACTGGAGTCATGAAAAAAAAGCTGTCAGAAGTGACAACTATCCATAACCTTAAATTCAAATAAGCTTTAAAAGGAGACATGTTTATTTTATGTGTACGGATTTTTGTCTGAACGTCTGTCTGCGCACCACGCGCATGCATTGCCTGGAGAGGCCAGGGGAGGGTGTCAGATCCCCCAGAACTCGAGTTAGGGTTGTTAGCTATCATGTGAGTGCTGAGAATTGAACCTGGGTCCTCGGGAAGAGCGACCAGAGCTTTTTACACCTGAGCCATCTCTCCAGCACCCAAATAGGCCTAAAAAACCAAACAAACAAAAACCTGTTTCGTTAAAACACATCACATGTGTTGGTTTTAGTCAGTTTTGTGTTACTGTAATGAAACTCCAGGCAGAGACACCTTAAAAAGACCATCTGAAGCAAGGCCTACACCTAAGGTTCAGGAAACATGTTGGGAGAGGTGGGTGGAAGCTTCCGGACACCCAGGCATGCTGAAACTAGTTCAAACTCGTTCCTGAGACTCAAGGCAAATTCTTATCTGAATGTAGTTGGCTTTTTTTTCCTCTTTGGAGACCCACTACCCAGCTCCTAAATAAATACACGGAGACTTATTCTTACTTATGAATGGCTGGCCTTAGCTAGGCTTGTTTCTAGCCAGCTTTTCTAACTTCAATTATCCTGTTTGTCTTTAACTACATCTTGCCTCTGGGCTTTTTACCTTTTTCATTCTGTATGTCTTTCTTTCCTTCTTACTGTGTGGCTGGCTGGGTGGACGGGTGGCTGTCCCCTGGTGTCCTCCTCTCCTTCTCCTTTTCTTGTTCCTTGTTCTTCTTCTCCTATTTATTCTCTCTGCCTGGAAGCCCTGCCTATCCCTCTCCTGCCTAGTTATTGGCCATTCAGCTCTTTATTAGACCATAGGCAGACACAGTAACACAGCTTTATAGAGTTAAATAAATACAATACAAAACATATCTTTGCATCATTAAATATTTCACAGCATAAATGAATGTAACACATCTCAAATTAATATTCCACAACATCTGAATGTTGCATACTTTCAAATTATAGGGGCACAAAGTTCAGAAAAGGAAAGAATGGAGACTGGGACAGCTCAGTGGTCGAGTGGTTGCTGTTATACCCAGCCTGGTATGCTCCATGAGGAAGGAGAAAGACAACACTTATGGGTTCCAAAGATTTTAATCATTCACCACAGAAGCAGGTCCCTGATCAGAGCTGCAGGACAAGCAAGGACTTGGGAGCCTTGTTTCTCCTGACAGCCCTGAGCAGGGGCAGAAGTGGGGTTTACAAACACAAAATTCACAAACATTTGTTGCAAGTTAGAGTTACAATTTACACCAATCAGGATTGAAGATTAGGGGCTTCCTTGAATGTTCCATCATTTTCAATCAATATACAATGTAAGCCTTTCAGTCCAACCAATCAGATTCTGTTGTTAGGGACAGCCATAGTGTTTCTGAAGAAATAAAGATGCATAATGACTATCTCTGTGGTTTAGGGAGAAGATTGGTCAGCCACTGGAAAGTTCTCAGCGCCCCTAGGGCTTGGGAACTTGAACTTTATTTCACCCTGCAGGTAAAATGGAGTCTGAAGTTAAAAGGGCAGTACTTGGGCCAGGGGGCTTTTGCCTGCTCTCTTCAGTTGTTTGCTAGGTATCAAGAAGCCCAGTTCTGCAGGAACAGAGCAGGTTATGTGTGCCTATGCTCTCAGCATATCCAAGAAGCAGGAGACTGCACCGTTAAAGGTCACCCTTGGCTACATATTGGTTTGAGGCCAGCCTGGGATACATGATACCCTGTCTCAAAAGCAAAGGAAGACTGGGAGCGTGCCATGAAGGGAAGAGCCCAAATGAGACTGAGGCCCCTGCAACTCTACACCTGGCTCCCAGGGCATGTGGGAGTGGAATCTGAGCTCCACGGGCCTGGGCGGCGCTGCCACAGCAGCTTCACCAGCCTCTTTCTTGGGCTGCTCTCACTCATCGCCTGCAGTTTTCATGAGTTCTTTGGGCAAGCTACATCTTCAAGGACACTCCCCCATGGCTGACTTATTCCAACTAGGCCCATTTTCCACAGTTTAACTACCTCCCAACCAGCTATTCAAATTTTGAATCTGTGTAGTCGACAAAACCCTTGCGACCTAATCCTCTCGGGGAAATGCCCTCATGAGACACACCTAGGGGTGTGCTCTGTTAATCTTCACGGTGAAGATTAGCCATCACTGTCAGCAAGGCTGCAGAAAGCTACAACTTCTGGAGACTGGTCTACCTTGCAGCTCTGATGTGTTTCTCAAGAGTGGATCCAATTGTTCTCTTCCCTACAAAAGTCTGTTTCTCAGCTCTCAGCATCCTTAATTGCTTGTAGCTCTTAGTGTAGAGTTGAGGCTTCCTGGGCTTCCCCCATCCACGTTAGTGTGTCTGTTGTTGTCCTGCCTGGTTCAGCTCAAGGTTGACTCTAAACAAGTAATGCTAAACAGACTGAGAGAATTGTGTGTGTGTGTGTGTGTGTGTAGTAATAGCTGTCGCGTCCGCCTCGACCAGCAAGGAAGACACAACACCGAGCTCTTCTTCAAGCTGTTTATTCAGGCCTTTTCAATCTGTTTCTTTTGTTCTTCTACCCCTAGGGAGAGCCCGTCCCAGCCTTATATAGGTCTCAGTCCACCAGCCACCATGCGCCACATGGGATTCCCGGATAGGTACACGTATGCCTTAGCAAGCCAAAATCTAAAGCCAAGCCAAATAAGGTGTTGTTTAACACAGAGAGCGCTCGCCATCGGGAGGGCGGGGGGCGAAAGCCTGAGCCATCTTAAGGATGCAGCTCCACGCAGCTCTCTACAAATAGCAATTAATGAAAAAAGAGGCCATGACGTTGAGGAACAGTACAGAAGGATTTATGGGATGGGAGGGTTTGGAGGGAGGAAATGATATCATTAAAATCTCAAAAAATAAAAGAAACAATTTTATAAAAGAATGTATCCATGGTCTTCTGGAAACTTCCCAAAGACTAGAATCAGGGGTGTCAAAACTACTGGCCTCTCTGGACCTCACTGGATGAAGAGAATTTTCTTGAGCCATACATTAAATTTCAGAGGTGTCTAACCCCTGTTACTTGTGGATTTTGAGCCATGAACACATATATTTTGTATGATGATGGGACACAAGGTTGTTATCACAGAGTTCATATTTGAGAACCACATAATAAGTTACCATAGAAAACAGTTTTACACACACACACACACACACACACACACACACACACACACACACACACAAATCTCCTAATGGTCTAGGTGAGAGATTCTGTGATTTTTTTTCCAACATAATATTTTTATTGATTATTTACTGATTATTTGGAAATTTTGTATAAATTTAACATAACCCCCAGTCACACTCACTTCCAGTCCTCTCAGGCCCACCTCCACTCTTGTGAATTCCCTCCAAAAAGCCCAGCTTGTGTTCCCATACACTCTCTGCGGTACAGTCAAACTCCCAGGTCCAGCCCCTTAAAGAAAACTGAGTCCTTCCCTACTTACGCCCCGACAGTAGCCATCAGTTGTGGAGAGCTACACTTCAGCATCCATATCACAATTTTTAAGAGTTGTCTTCCATGGCCGGGCAGTGGTGGCGCATGCCTTTAATCCCAGCACTTAGGAGGCAGAGGCAGACTGATCTTTGTGAGTTCCAGGCCAGCCTGGTCTACAGAGCAAGATCCAGGAAAGGTGCAAAGCTACATAGAGAAACCCTGTCTCGAAAAACAAAACAAAACAACAACAACAAAAAAAAGAGTTGTCTTCCCAAAAAAAGAGAGTTGTCTTCGATGACTTCCTGTCTAGGCTGCTACTTTTTGGGGATTGGAGGGGGCGTGGGGGTAGAGGTTGTCACAGAAGCCTATTACGTCTCTCAAAACTGTGAGTTCCACGTGGGACCTGGAGACAGTATAAACCACAGACATCAACCTAGGTGACTGGACATTTAGGGCTGTGTGTGATCGCTGCAGGTCATTTAGTTAATTAAAAAGGCTCCAAAAAAGCTGGCTTCTTGGTCCAGGTCTACCAAATTCTCATTTGTCACAGAAACAAAAATCCTGTCATTTTCTTTAAGCTCAAACAGCCCCCCTTGATAGATGGAATAGAGTCCGTATTCTGCATCTCTGGACCAGCAACTGTTTCTGGCACTCTTCATGAGCATTATGGGGTCTGGGTAGTTGGTGTATTTGTAGATGTACTGTACCATTTGTTTGTTTCTCCCTCTGTCCTTGGAGACTGCCTTGGAAGTATCTTCAGTCTCTTTAAACCGGAAGTACGTCTGGGAATAGATGTAATAAAGGCCCTGTTCCTGGATGATCAGCTCTCCATTTCTCAAATGTACATAGCTGAGGAACGAATGCCCTTTCTTCGATGACTCCCAGGATTCTATCTTCTGGCCCAAGGTCTTTCCATCCTTGGAGACTACATGAAAATGAGAAACAGTTTGCATCAAAGTGAGGAGATCCCTCACTGCTCAGCACAGTCAGTGTTCACCGAGCTTGACAAGATGTCATCCAAAACCAGCTGCCTACCACTTCAGTCTGACTCAGATTACAAAGGCTGTTGTAATCCCATCGAGGCCCCTGTACCATCTGACCTGCTGTAAGAGCCTCACCTTTCAGACCTCCATTGACCGCTACGCCCTACCCCCACACAGCAAAGGCTGGTAGTTCGGTGGTTCAAAAGTGTCCCCTGGTGGGAGATGCTAGTGCCTTGTGGTGAAAACAAATGCTGTGAATTTGAACTTTTGAGGAGAAGGAAGAATTGATACCAATGGAGAGAGAGAGAGAGAGAGAGAGAGAGAGAATATTACTTTAAAGTTGAAGAAAAAAAGCCTAGGTATAGTGCTGCCTGCTATTCCAGCCCTTGGGGGCCTGAGACAGAAGGATTCAATTCAAAGCCAAAAGGGAGAGGAAGAGAGCCAGGCAGCAGCACCAGCAGCAGTGAAGGCGGCCTAAAGGGAGTCTGGGAGCAATGTTCTCTCAGGTCCACTTTTCCTAAGGCCAGCTACGGCAGGAGAGTTACCAAGTGTGTCATTTTGTTTCTCAAAACAGTCACCTGATACTTGATCATTATTGAGCACTCACATAGAAATATTTCAGATAAAAGTTAAAACTAAACTACTTTGGACAATTCTAGCCTCACAAATGCTAGATGTCGTCCACACACCAACCCAACTGCCAGCCCCAGCCCCACCCCTGTCAGCCCCACCCCTACCAGCCTGTCCCCTGCCAGCCCCAGCCCCACCCCTGACAGCCCCAGCCCCGCCCACTGGCAGCCCCAGCCCCAGCCCCTGACAGCCCCAGCCCCACCCACTTCCAGCCCCAGCCCCACCCCTGACAGCCCCAGCCCCACCCCTGACAGCCCCACCCCTGACAGCCCCAGCCCCGCCCCTGCCAGCCCCAGCCCCACCCACTGGCAGCCCAGCCCCACCCCTGGCAGCCCCAGCCCCGCCCCTGCCAGCCCCAGCCCCGCCCATTGGCAGCCCCAGCCCCGCCCCCTGCCAGCCCCAGCTCCACGCCCTCATGATCTTACTTGGAATTAAGGCTGAGCTGCTTTTCCGAGTCTTTCCAGTAATGTGAGCCGCCACTCTCTGAAGTTTTCCACCTCTGGGTGGGAAATTAATACTTCGCTGCTTTTCTAAAAGACACAAGACAGAGAAACATCAACACTTGTCAAAATAGCTCTCAAATACACTGCCCTGCTCACACCGCTGTGTCTGACCAGGGGTCTCGAGCACAGGGCCTCCCTCCTCAAACTGACCCTATAGTTTCTTAAAACAGCCCATATAGTGGGGCCCAAGAGGTGGCTCGGAGTGAAGACCACTGACCTGGGTTTGAGCCCACCACCCACATGGCAGCTCACAACTGTCTGTAACTCCAGGTCTGGGGCAAACATGAAGATCTGAGTTTGGATTCTCAGCAGCCACCTAAAGACCCAGACACTGCCACATGCCTGTGTCCTGAGGTAAGAGCAGTGGGGAGGAGTGAATGGAGACAGGGTCACTAGGGTTGGCAGGCTGCCAGCCAGCCAACGGTCTCTCTGTGAGAGACATATCTAAAGGGAACAGGCAGAAACTGTTAGAGAAGGACATGTGACAGCCTCTTCTGGCTCCCCAAAGCAGGCACACACACCTGCATACACATCTATACCATCATGTCTTTTAAAACTTAGCTTCAGAACCCCATTTCTGCTTACATTTAGTTAAGATAAATCATATTCTATCAACACACAAATATTGGCGAGGACAAGAAATTATACCACACTACACAGAGCTATATAGATTTCACTGAGTCCTCAAGGAACTTGCTATATTTTATGAAGCTATCAGAAAATAAAATAATTATCTCTGAGAATTAGGGGGTAAGCAGAGGAGGAACAGAGTCCTATTTGCTGAAGATTGGAGACAGGGGAGGGTTTGCTGAGGAGATGCTGTTAAGACCTTTTCAGTCATTTATTCCTGTAAGCTGAAGTGTCCACCACATCCACCCCAGGCACCCTTCTAGGGACAAGGAGAAGTGTCACAAATAATCAAGAAACAAGGGTGCACAGATGCGTAGGATCTGCAGAGGTGTGGAAGAGAGGTATTTCCAGAGATCTAAAGTCCAGGCCCAGGGCAGAAGACAGGCCAGGGGGTCACGCAGGTCTGATCTGAAGGGAACAAAGAACACAAGATTTGATGTTCAGCTACCTTTACAGAACAAAACTGGCAGGTGCAAAGAGATGCGTGTGCGTCAGCTGACTTATGCCGAGGTCTGGTTTGATGGGCAGAGGAAGAGAAGCTGGAGGCTGCTGGGCAAGTTACAAGGTTGTACTGGTCCCTCTTCCAAGTTGGAAGCTCAGGAAGCAAAACCAGGCAATACAATTTCATAGTTAGGCAGTGAATGAAAAAGGAGAAACCATTTCTGTTTATCTGGTATTGGCTATAAATCACAATTAATATTGTTCTTGTTATTTCAGGAAGACAAGTTTTCTTCTTGAAGCAAAAATCTCCTGAGAGCTTCCAAGGAACCTGATAAACTATATGTGGTTTTGAACCGAGCAAGGTGGAGAGGGTAGATGAGTGGAGAGGGGGTGCGAGGATGGAGAGACAGATATTTAGCTAGAGAATGTCGCAGAGCAGATCTGCTGGGGAAGTGGGGAGTGATTGACATACACTCTCTGTCTTCTGCTACTCACCCAGATCCCACAGGTCTATAAACTACAGAGACATTTTCCTTTTCTTTCCCTTCACTAGCATATACACAAACTAATGTGTTTCATTGTAACATTTTGTCTTTTGACCATAGTCACTCCCTTCACCTTCTTGCTCCCCCTCCCCCCCTCATGCTGGTCCTCCCCCCCCTTTGCAAACAGTCCTCCCTCTACTTACATGTCTTTCTATTGGTGTATATTAACTGTATAAAGTAATGAGTTTCATTATGATACTTATAACAAATGATATAACTTAATGTTTATTAGAGAAAATTAGTAAGCAGCACAAAGTGGGTCACATGGTCTGGTAAACACAGTGTTATCCCAGTCCTGTGTTGTAATATAGATGCTTCAATCACACTTTCCACAAAAACGTATCTAGGCAAGTGCAACAATATCCTGAAAACACACCTGTTAACAGTTTACCAAATCTCATGACCTAAGCTCCCCCTGAATATTTTAGGGTTCTCATTTACTGAATAGCACTAAAACCACAGGAACCAATTTCCAATTACCAAAGTATTAGGACTCAAAGGAGCATCTTCCAAAGCTCTTACAGTAGCTGCTTTGGGACTCTGGCCACTCTGAGTAAATGCTAGCTACTCAACCTTAGAAGATAATTTTGCTAAGAAAGTTCTTTGTTGTTGTTGTTTTGGTTTTTGGTTTTTTGATACAAGATTACTCTATGTAGCCCTAGCTGTCCTGGAACTCGCACTGTAGACCAGGCTGACCTAATATTCAAGAAAGCTTCACAACGACAAGAACTTCCTTTTTCTGTTGTTTTTGCTATACCTGGCTAATAGTGAGGGAGCCAATACCTGTTGGATGTGTAAGTTCCACATAGATTTCTCTTAAGCCCTAAGGTACAACATTATTTAAAATATGTATCATCTGGCTACAATCATATCGATTCAACAATTACAAACAGGTTTGAAACACACGTTACTGTTTTAGGGAGGTCAAGAGCTTAACCGGGAAAGTTAGCAGTTTGGAACTCGGCTGCTGGAAACCCTATCTTCATCCAAGAAGTCTATAGCAGTTTTCAGGATTCACTCCAGAAACCACATTCTCGACATCTCAGCAGAGAGTCAGAGCTAGAGGTACACAGAGAAAACCAAGATCAGGTAGAGATGATGAAGGGCCAGGGATCCAGCCAGCAGCCCTCCGGAAGCACTTCCGGTTCATCCCAGACTGAGGTCTCTCAACTTGGTTCAGTTGGGCTCGCTCCTCCCAGCTCTGCTGGAGGCTCTCCGCTCCAGGCTAGCTCACCTCCGCTCCAGGCTAGCTCACCTCCGCTCCAGGCTAGCTCACCTCCGCTCCAGGCTAGCTCACCTCCGCTCCAGGCTAGCTCACCTCCGCTCCAGGCTAGCTCACCTCCGCTCCAGGCTAGCTCACCTCCGCTCCAGGCTAGCTCACCTCCGCTCCAGGCTAGCTCACCTCCGCTCCAGGCTAGCTCACCTCCGCTCCAGGCTAGCTCACCTCCGCTCCTGGCCTCGCTCACCTCCGTCGCCTTCCTCCTCTCCCTCTCGAAGTTCTGCAGACCTGAGAGCCACTGGGCTCCGCATTTAACACGCGTAGAAAATGTCTTGATTATATCCACTCCTCTTTGCCCCTGACTGGTCCTCTCTTCCCGGTGAGCCCTTCTTCCCGGATGGTTTCCCTTCCTTTTCTCATTCCTGTCTCTCTGTGTCTCTTCCTGTCTCTGTCACTCTTGCTCTCTCCCTCTCAACCTGGTTTCCACACATGGGGAAAAATCCTGCGTTTTTTTCTGAGTTTGTTTTATTTTTGCTTAATACAAAGTCTCCGAATCCATCTGTTTTCCTGCAAATGACATAACTCTGTTCTTCATGTGAAGAGCACACTGTGTATATGTGACAATTCTCTTTCTCCATCCACTGATGTGCACCTAGGCTGCTTTGGTGACTTGACTATAGTGAATAGTGCAGCAGTGGACGACATCGATGTGCAGGGATCATCACTGTAGATAGATTTGAGTCCTTTGGGTGTATTTCCAGGAATGGTATAGCTGGTTGTACAGATGCTCTATTTTTAGATTTTTTGAGGAACCTCCATCCTCATTTCCACAGTAGATGGACAAATTTCATTCCTACCAACAGTGTATAGAAGGATCTCCCTGACACCCTCAGTGTTTATTATTTTTATGATACCCTTGATGACTGAGATGGGGGATGAGATCATGGGAGATCTTTATCTCTCCTTTCTTTGTGTGTGTGGTGTGTGTGTACACATGGAGAGTATGTGTATCGTGCGCCCATGTGCAGAGGTCAGCGGAGGATGTCAGGTGTCCTGCTCTGTCTGATTCCCCACTTTGGAGTCTGGAGTCTTGCTGGTGCTGCTCATCTCTTTCCCTACAGTGCTAACAGATGCAGCCATATGTGTGGTCACGCCCAGTTCTGTGTGTGAGTGAACTCCTACCCTCTCGTCTATACCTTCTTTTCTCTGATAGTTCCAGCCATCTCTCCAACTCTCTCTCAAGACAGGGTCTCATATAGTTTGAGGTGACCTCACATTTCCTTTGTAGCTGTTAGCTTTGAGTTCCTGACCCTCCTCTTCCACGCCACATGTGCTGTGAGTGCCCAGCTTCTCTTGGATTTTAAAGGCAATTTTGCTGGATATAGTAGTCTGTTTTAAGCATTGTATAAATATGTGTGTGTGTGTGTGTGTGTGTGTGTGTGTGTGTGTGTGTGTTTTAGATATTAACCCTCTGTCCTATGCGAAGCTAGCAACGACTTCCTCCCACTTTGTAGGTTGTCCATCCCTTCAATAAACTATATCCTTTGCTGTACAGAAGTGCTCTAATTTCATGAAGTCCTTTTTGTCAGTTGACAGCATCTTTGTGACCGGGGTCCTTTCCAGAAAGTTCATACCGGTGTCTATACCTTCTTTTCTCTGATAGTTCCAGAATTTCAAGTTTTACATCGAGGTCTTCCATCCATTCTAAGCAGTTTGTCTAGTTCCATTCTTCTGTGTGTGGATATGTGCATTCTTTGGTGAAGAGACTTTTATCCAAAGTGTATTTTTGGCCTCTTTGTCAAAAATCAAGTATCTGTCACTCTGTGAGTTATGGCTGCTCTCTTTGTTCTATTTCAAAGAGCTACATATCTGTTTTTGCATTAGTGCCATGCTGGTTTGTTATTATGGTTCTGTAGTATAACCAGAAATCACCACCAGCATTATTCTTTGTGCTCAGGATTGCTTTGGCTCTCTGGGATCTTACGTGCTTCAGAATGAATTTTAAGATCGTCTTTTCTGTGCTGTGAAGAATGCCATTAAGATTTGCAAAGATTTTCTTCACAATTATTTCAATGTGGTGGAAGAGAAGACAGTACATGGATAAAGTTGCATATAAAATACAACGAGACAACCAAGGGGTGAGATGGAAATAATAAGATGCAGGGGAACTTACTTAGAAATGTTCCGAGAAGAGGAATTTGTGGGCAAGAGAGCCATGAAGTGGTGAGAGGAGCCCTGGCCAGGAGAGGGAGAGCCAGATGGAAGGTCTGATAAGCCAGCCTGGTGAGGAAACAATGAGAAGAGGCGTAAAGAACATCTGCTGGCCAGGAGCAGGATGGTGAGCATGTGGTCTCCAGCAGAAACCGCAGCTGAGATCGTGGGTAGGTAGATAGGTGTCTGGGGAAGGAGTGACGCAGTGAGGGCCTTCAGGGTGAAGAAAAGCGTTGTGGTCAGAGGCAGGAAAGATGAGTAATTTTTGGAGGATTTTATCTATTTTATTTCCTGCCAAGTTCTAAGTAATACTTAACATGGTTTATTTCTAGCATATTAGAAACCAAAATAATTAAATAAGTTAAGAAATTGAAGTAAAAGGAAACTTCATAATGGAAAAAATAAGATAAAGAAAGAATAAAGTTCTGACCGTGAGTAGGCCATGAAGTTAATCCCAAACTCTCCAGTCCTTGGCACAAACAGAGAAAGAAAATCAATAAACAGTTAAGAAAATGGGCAGAGAGGTCCTAACTGGTAAGTATGGATGGGAACAGAGAGATCAGAGAGCTGTTCCGTTTGTGAAGCAGACACTAGCAAGTAGAAATAACAAAATATTACTACCTGGAACTGTAGAAATGGTTTCCCCAAATGTCCTCAAAGTCACCTGCAAATGGCATGGAATAAAGCTTGTTAGTGCCCCTAAAACTTCAACAGGATGCACGTGCTTCTAGGTCTTCTCTCTGACGTGGGATGGGATGTTTATATGGTGGCATCAATATAGAACTTCTTTTACCCAAGCATAGGTATCCATGGGAGATGCCATGACCAAAGGGTGGTCTGCAAGTTCTGATTGACACTTGGAGCAGCTGAGAAGGAGGGGCATTGCTACTGCTTCCGTCAGCCATCTCCAAGACCTCCCTCCATGAAGCTGATGATAACCATGTCCCGCCACTCCATGTGGAGCGTGTGTGCAGGTGTGCCTGTGTGTGTGACAGAGCCCAGCGTCTGGAGTGACTAGCTAGATCTGAACTGTAGGATGTAAGCAAGGCACAAGGCCCTTGGTGCCCACAGATAGGACCACTCCATGAATGTCTGACTTGGTACCACTGTGTTTTTCTCTACTTTTGATAATGTTAAGTTCATGCCCAAAGAAATAATACCTTGCTAAACATCTCATGACACCCCATCCCTTTGTGGTAACCCATGGAGAAAACCAGTACAAAGGGAACACCTTTCCATGTGGGGAGCAGAGCTGGTTTGAGTCATTATACTTCTGAGCTCTCATTCATCCCTGTCACTCTTGATGTCTGTGCTGTCATTGACACGTCACTGCAGATGTCACAAGCACATCAGCCGTGTGCCTGTGCTCTCTGTCTCTCCCGTCTCTCTGTCTCTCCCATCTCTCTGTCTCTCCCGTCTCTCTGTCTCTCTGTCTCTCCTGTCTCTCTGTCTCTCTGTCTCTCCCATCTCTCTGTCTCTCCCTCTGCTTCAACCCCACCCCAGCTGTGAGCGTTCACTGGAGGGCCCCATTGGCTCTGGAGAAGGGACAAGGAAGTGGGTTTGAACATTCACCCATTTTTTTCTGTTTCTCTTTCTTTTTCTTATTCTAGCACAGGAAACAAGGAAGGAGGAGGGAAAGGAAAAGAAGGGAGAGAGGCAGGAGAGGAAATGAAAGGGAGGTAGGGATAGAGAGAGGAAGAAAGCAAGAAACAGAGAAAGGGTCATTCCACAATGACTACAAGCAGGTCAGGTGACCATGAGTCAAGACAGTGCTTTAAGGAGGTTTAAGTAACTTAACTGATCTGACATGCGATGGCTTTATCTGTTTGAAAATGTGTTTAAAAGCATAACAATGATTCCTTCTTTGAGAGCTGCTCTCAGAATTCACTGGGATGCTGTTCAATATGGGCAGATGTTTACAGGAAATAGAAGGCGTGTCATGCCTAAGCAGATGTGGAATCTTCTCACACACTCACATCCACCTGATCTATGCTCTCTCTCCCAGTTTCTCTCTACTCTGGTTGTGCAGGATGAGTCTGGGAGGATGAGAGAGAATTAGTGGAAAGTGACATGGAAAATTCATCATCAATCCTTTATATCTTCTCCATGATTGGCCCTTGTGTCTGCCAGCACCCCAGCCTCCAGACATTATACCCACTAACACCCCAGCTTCCAGACTTGTGTCTGCCAGCACCCCAGCCTCCAGACATTATACCCACTAACACCCCGGCTTCCAGATTAGTTCAAGTCTCTCTTCTTGATGACCCACTGAACCCCTTAAGTCAAGGGCTTTGTAAGTCTCATCTCTGAGTTTCCTCCAGAGCTGTCCAAAGCCTGGGCTTTTCCTAGATCACCTTAATCATCCATAGCACCAAGTCTGGGAGTGCTCACAGAATGCCCAAGTGGAAAACCGCTTAGAAGCCACATTCCAGGTGCTGTCTGGACTCTACTGTGAATACTGATCAAGTTACCCACTGAAGCCTGATCATCTGGATAATACTGTTTCCATGGAACGAACAATAGACTCCAAGGTTGTCTGGCGTACAACCTCCTCCCACACTGGGAATTCCCGCCATATCCTTAGATGGTGATGTCATGGCCTCTTAGTTTGCAGAGTATTTTTAATATTTGTGCCTCCATCTGACCTTCTCAGAAAGGCAGAAGGCAAATATTTGTAAATGCCAGCTTCCTAAGAAGGAAGCAGGCAGAGAAGAAATTGATCTGACTTAATCTAAAAGTAAAATCAGCTACCCACATTCAGTAAAATGAACTGTTAGCCAGCCTGAGCTTTCTGCCAGAGATCCCAGGGTGGCAACTTGCATCAACAAATGCATTTTTCTAACTTGTCATGTGTTGACAATGAATTGAGATAACCTCACCTCCAATTTCTCAAAGTATTCTTCTTTACATTCACACGAAAAAAGCAAATGTGCATTTAATTCTCAAGATCAGCCATGTGTGATGAGTAGAAAATATATCATTTGGCTTCTTTTGTCTTCTGAATAAAAGTAAATAAAAACAAACAAAGAGACACCAGGCAACCTTAAGCACATGCTGTTTGTGCGTGTGTTCCTGTAACAAGACGCAAAGCCCCAGGAGGCCACTGGCTAACGGCAGCCAGGGCTTTCTCTGCCATCTGATATCAGGTATTGCACCATGTTGGGGAAATCACTTAAACCCTTTGGGTTTCATTTGCAAAATGGAGATTTCTAGACTTGAAGGTCTGAAAACTCTTTCCCCTCTGACCTCATGTTCCTGCTGAGTACTTACCTCTTCAATAAGCTGATACAGTTCCCTCTTAGCCTGCAAGCAGTGTCTGTGTTCTTCCTCAGTGGAGCCCCAGGGATCCTCTTCCTTCTTTAACAAGCACGATATTCCACTTCTGGAGTATTTGTTCTGCAGCTGGGTGGAGACAGAATATAACTCTAATGAACACATCCTTTTTCTTTTTACCCATTTGGAAGCTAACAAAACAAAGTGATGAAAATTGACAGGAGTTGGGGTGCCATGAGCAGTTTGTGGTTTAAATGAATGTAGGCATGCTGCCCGTTGTCCATTGATATTGACTAAGCGGTTGGGTGTGGTAGCAAGGACTAGCCAGGCATCCTGGCTCCCTGTGCTCTTCACTGCCCATCCCTAGCAGCCCTGTGTTGATCTTTCTCTCCCTCACTTGCACTTGTTTCTCGGTACCTTAGGTAATGACTAAGGTTTCTTCCAGCTCTGACATTGTGTGGCTCTCCCTCCAAAGCGGGAAACCTGCCTGTGTTCAAATCCATTTAAATGCCCACATCTGTAACAAAAGCAGTCAACCCTTTGGTGTGTGGGAAGGGTTCTGCTCCTTCACCACAGCCCCTGTAGCTGAGTAGATTGTTGTTATTGGCACGGCTCCTACTCTGGATGGATCCACAATACCACTAGAAATCTGTACCCTGACTCATTGGTTGTTCACAAAGCCTAGGAACTGATCGAAGGAGACTTTATCGTCATTGAGGTGTTTGCCAGGACCAGAAGCCAATATTTACAGCCTCAAATTGCCAACAAAGTCCTTACCCTTGTCAATAACCACTACCTAATATTATAACTCCCATACCCACTGCATAGTTCCCATGAACCATCCAGAACATGCTAGTACCTCAGGCTGTTACCAAATCAGAAGGGAAGGGGGAGGAAGGAAGAGGAGGTAAAGGTTCTGAAGGAGGGGGAGGAAAAAGTCCTCATTTCTTTTTTTCCCTTCCGTTTTGTTTTCCTAATAGCCTGGGTTTACAACCCATGGTTTCTCGATGCCTGTTGACATAGGCCTGTGAACTTAGCTAGTTGGGAGGCTGAAGCAGGGGGATTACAAGTTTAAGGTTTACCTAAGCTACAGACTGCATTTGACCCCAGTCTGCACAAATCAAACAAAACAGAAGAAAACAAAAACAAAGGGTTGGAGTGTCGCCCTCTGGTAGAGTGCTTGTCTAGCGTGTGACCCTGGGTTCTGGTCCTGTCACTGCAAAGGAAAAATGACATGTCTCCTTATTAAAAAACATCTCGTGATTTGCCTTTAATTGGGATACCTTGGAAAAATCATCTTTTTGTTGTTTTTTTCTTTTTTTTTTTTTTGGTTTTTCGAGACAGGGTTTCTCTGTGTAGCTTTGCGCCTCTCCTGGAACTCACTTGGTAGCCCAGACTGGCCTCGAACTCACAGAGATCCGCCTGGCTCTGCCTCCCGAGTGCTGGGATTAAAGGCGTGCGCCACCACCGCCCGGCCGTTTTTTTCTTTTTTTGAGACAGGGTCTCACTATGCAGCCCTGGCTGGCCTGGAACTGGCTATATAGAACAAGCTGGGCTCAAACTCACAGAGATCCACCTGCCTCTGCCTTCTGAGTGCTGGGATTAAAGGCGTGCTAAACATCATAATTTTATCTGTTATTTAAACTTGGTGTATAGCAAAGTTAGGGGTGGTGGTGAATTTATCAGCCCACACTTCCTATAGGAAAAAAAATCTGCTGAGTGTGTGATTGAGTGATTGAGACAAGTTCATATAGTCCAGACTGACCTCACATTCCCTCAGTAACCAAGGATGACCCTGAATTTTGGCTCCTCCCGTCTCTGCCTCCCAAGCTCTGGAATTATCAGCATTTGACAGTTCCCCTCATCTTACATGGTACTGTGGACTGAACCAGAGCTTTGTACTCACTAGGCAAGTATTCCACTATCTGAACTACACTCCCAGCCCACGCCATCTCATTAAAAAAAGTCCATTATTCATAAGCGGTCCTGTCCAGAATCACATAGTTCTATACTCAGCAATGTACCTCTAAGCAAAAGTACAAACCTTCTACAAGACTTAAAATGGATCATTCATCCACTGTTTAAACCAGACGAGCAGCCTCAGAGACCACCATGGTCTATTGGAACACTGGTGTCCTCAGAGGCTTTGTCTCCTTTCTTCCTAGCAATGGGTCATCTCAACAGGCAAGGGTTAAGAGCCTGGAAGCTAGGGCCCAGGGCACAAGGAGCTGCTGTGCTGTATTTGTTCTGACAAGATGGTGTCTAACTGTCCTTTTTAAACTGAGGTGGAGGGTGAGAAGGACAAAGTATCCAGGAGGGCCAGACAGCCCAGCCCATAGCTGGCTGCTGTTCAAAATCCCTTCAGGGACTTTCCAGAAGTGTTTGCAGGAGGTGGGAAGGGAAATCTTGATTGAGTGGGGTTCTGGGTGAAGGTATAAAAGTTAATGTGATTAAATTATTACACAAATGCTAATGAAGCTGGGGTGTGACTCGGTGGTAGCAATAAAAATAAAATAAAAACTTAGGGAGGCCCAGATTCATTCAGAGACATGGAAAAGTAAAGAATGCTTTCCTAAGGTAAATGCAAATTCTCCCCAATTAATAATACTCTAGGACGAAACCAAAACACCATGCTGAAAACAACAGTCCCACATCCACCTAACCTCTGCTTGACTTTCTGTGTACATGGCTGGGATTAGAGTGTGTGCGTAATTGTGTGCATTTTCTCTTAAGATTATATGGAAGTGGCATGTCCTTGAATTTGAAGGGCATAGCTCAATGGCAGAATTCTTGCCTTGATTTGCCCAAGTTCCTGGACTCTAAGGAGTGAAAACCTCTATGACAACCACAGATGACAGCTTAGATATTTTATGACATTCACCACAGAAAATTCATAAAATTTGGAAAATTGAAAATGAGAGTCCCACCCTCTAGAGATCACAGTTGTCAGCTTTTGGGGGTTGGCCTTACTAGACATTTCTATGCATAAGCATTGATTTCTGGACAAAGGAAGCAGAAAGGAAGCCTCAGCTCCCGCTCCTCATTCACCTTCAGCAGGTGCTAAACCAACGCAGGTCACAGAACGCTGAATGGCTGATGATGAGCACTTTGCTGTCTCCCTCCACATCCTTACTTCACCACATCCTTTCTACCTCAGGAAACATGCCGAAATGAAGAGATTCTAAGCTTTATTTGAAATTGCTGCAATTTTTTGGTCAGAGTTTTGAAAACCTTAATTATATAATCAGACAACTATATGAGTCAACAGAGGATCAGGTCAATATAAAAATAAGGTCAACTTGTAATGTGTGCAAATTGATGCAGCCACATGTGCATAGAGATGCAGTCTCACTCTGGTTATATTGTGAAGTTAACAAGCTTTAGTGTGCTGCCACAAAGCAGCAAACATAGCTATGCTCCAATCTCTTATGTGAACTTAGAACTAAAGAATGATTATCGGTACATCCTTTTTTCCCTCAGAAATACACAAACTTGGGGCCAGAAAGATGACTCAAAGGACCAAAGTATTTGTCATCAAACCTGAAGACTTGAGTTCAATCCCCAGGACCTACAAGGTAGAAGTAGAAAACTAATTCTTCCAAGTTGTCCTCATGTGCCCCATCCCCCGACACACACACAGCACATGTATGCTGTGGGATGTCTTCTGTATGCTGTGACTATGCATTGCTCTCACTGGTCAATAAATAAAGCTGTTTGGCCAATGGCGAGGCAGAATGAGGTTAGGTGGCACATTCAAACTAAAGACAGAAATGAAGGTCAGAGTCAGACAGATGCTTCGAGCTGCCCAAGAAGCAACATGTGAAAGAACCAGTAAGCCACTGGCCATGTGGTGATACACAGATTAATAGAAATGGGTTAATTTAAGTGTAAGAGCTAGCTAGTAATAAGCCTGAGCCATCAGCCAAGCATTTATAATTAATATAAGCCTCTGAGTGATTATCTAAAAGTGGCTGCAGGGTGGGATGGGACAGAAAAAAAGCCTCTGGTTACATAATGTAAATAAGTAAATAAAAATAATTGTAATTTTAAAAAGTTTTTTAAAGAAATATACAAACTTAGTATGGGGAAACGACTCAGTCAGTACAGTGCTTGTCAGACAAGCATGAGAACTTGAGTTCAGTCTCCAGAGCCCACATAGATAAAGTCAGGCCTCGAGGCATATGCCTGTAGTCCCCATTCTGGAGAGGAGGAGAGAGGTGGATTCCTGGGGTTGGCTGATGAGAGACTATGGGTGAGTTCCAAGTTAATCTGAGATGGTGTCCCAAAAAAACAAAAACAAAAAAAGGAGGAATGAAAAGAAAGAAAAGAGGAAAATGTGGATGGTATTCGAGAAATATCAACAGAGGCTGTCCTCTGGCCTACAGTTATATGCATATGCACATGTGTATTTGCTGGCACACACATACAGAGAGAGAGAGAGAGAGAGAGAGAGAGAGAGAGAGAGAGAGAGAGAGAGAGAGTCTTATAAGCATGCCCTCTAGTAAAAAGATCATTATAAGCCATAATTTTCAAAATTATTTTCAAATAAAAGGAGAGTGCCTCAATTTGAAAAACTTCCAGCTGATTGGGATAATCAAATTCGTATTCCCTAGGGTGTACAAACTGCATTGCCCTAACAGACCAGTGCTACTCTATAGATTTTGCTTAGTTCATTTTCCCTGAGACTCTTCCTTGGTCTTGCACTTCCAAACAAGACACCAAGTTGGATGAAGCAGGGCATCCTGGGCATGACAATGTGCAAATTTTCAGAGTCCATGTGTGCCATGGTGGGGAGGGAAGAGTCATACCTGGCATCCACAGCCCTGGCACTAACCCTACTCTGGCTCCAAAGCCCTGTCTAAGCTTTGCGAATTCATTTCTGTGATGAGGGTTCTAGACAAGGGAGTGTGGTGCTCATAGTCCCTTCCAGTTCTCAAAGTGGGCATAAGAAACCTAAAGTTGAGGTGATTTATTCTCATCAGTTTCACATTCCTAGTCGTAGGGGCTTTCTATGACTGAGAAATGCACAGGATGAGAGGACATTGACTCTCGTCCTCTGTACTCATGCCTGTATTTGTATCTGGGTTCCACTTGGCATAAAATCCAACTGCTTTCTTGTGAGTAGTTAAACCCAAGTAACTTCCTTATTACAGACCATTAGTCAAGACACACCTAATCCCAGGGAAAGAATGGCTGAAAGCCAGACCATTGTGTTCTTACTTATTGTCAATACAGGCACTCCACAGGCCTAAAACCAAAACATATTTATTTAAAAAAACAAAAGTGTGTGTGTGTGTGTGTATGTGTGTTCCCAAGAGTTAATCCCAGTACTGTCCCTCAAGAGCTATATACCTGCCTTTTTTGATGCAGGGTCTCTCACTGGGACCTGAAATTCACCAATCAGACTAGAGCCAGCAAGCCCCAGGAATTCTCCTACACCCTCCTCCAGCACTGGAACTACAGGTACGTGCTAGGTAATGAGGATCAAACTCTGGTTCTCACACTTACACAGTAAACACTTCACTTTATGAGCCCCCCAAAACATATTTCAAATATCTGGTTAGCATCCACCCCACCCTCAGCCTTGTGGGACTGAGAAATGTGATATTTCAAACTTCTGATTTTAGTTCAGATACATACTATTCTACCTGCCAGCATTTCAAAGTATGACTTTTCTATGTGAGAATTTTTCACTCATTTAAAAAACATTTAAAAATTTTTTTAAAAAAAGGTGTGGGACCAGAGGCCTCCCTCAAACAATGGAGGAGATTGCCCTTGCTCTCAGTTGCTCACCATACTTGGTACTCAGACATGATTGCTGAAGACACTGCGCACATGGTCACAGGATGTGGAGAAATCAAGCAAGTACTGAAGCTTTCTCACTGCTGACCAGCTCTCACTGCTCATCTCACTGCTGACCAGCTCTCACTGCTGATCTCACTGCTGACCAGCTCTCACAGTGCCACCTCACTGCTGACCAGCTCTCACAGTGCCACCTCACTGCTGACCAGCTCTCACAGTGCCACCTCACTGCAGACCAGCTCTCACAGTGCCACCTCACTGCTGACCAGCTCTCACTGCTGATCTCACTGCTGACCAGCTCTCACAGTGCCACCTCACTGCTGACCAGCTCTCACAGTGCCACCTCACTGCAGACCTGCTCTCACAGTGCCATCTCACTGCTGACCAGCTCTCACTGCTCATCTCACTGCAGACCTGCTCTCACAGTGCCACCTCACTGCAGAACAGCTCTCACAGTGCCACCTCACTGCTGACCAGCTCTCACAGTGCCACCTCACTGCTGACCAGCTCTCACTGCTCATCTCACTGCTGACCAGCTCTCACAGTGCCATAAGGTGCTATGCAGGCTGCTGGGAGAGGAAAGCATCACCAGTTTGATCTAGTTGTAAATCCTGCAAGCTACAATAACAAGTGGCCTGGCAAGCTCTGCCCATGGGTGCAATCATGGTCTGAGTGTTATGGCGGAACCATCTTCTTCCTTATTAGAGGTAAGTCCCACTTTACAGGAGGAAACCTGTGCCTAGCCTATAAATCTAGCAAAGAAGCCATGGCCAGGGAGCTCCTAGGTCCTAGGGGAACACTGCAACTGTTTTGCTAAATAAACATTGCATCCAACTGTCATCTAAATACATATTTCTATATCCATAGGTTATTACAGCTCTCATTTCTCATCAGATATGCTTCCTCATATGTAGGACAGCAGTTATAGAGATTCACAACTCATCAAAGTGTGAAGAAGAAATATCCATGGAGCTGTCAGACATAAGTGGGCAGTCTCCATCCCTCCCTGGCCTCGATGTTCAGGTAACTCCAGAGCAGGGGGCTAAGGGACAACTCAGCCAGCAGAAGGTTTGCTGTGTAAGTAGGGTGGCCCAAGTTAGATCCCCAGAATCCAGGACTGGAGGGGCAAAGACAGAAAGATCCCAGGGGCTTGCCAAGTCAGGGAGTTCAAGGTTCAGTGAGAGACCCTGTCTCAGAAAAGTAAGGGGGGTGGGGACTGAGGAAGACAGCTGACTTTGACCTCAGACCTCCACATTGCATGCTTCTCTCTGCTCTCTCCCTTCCTCTCTCTCTCTCCGTCCTCTGCCTCTCTTCCTTTCTCCTTCCCTCTCTCTCTTCCTCTTTCTCTCTTCCTCCCTCTCTCCTCTCCCCCTCCCTTCTTCACTCTCTCCATCTCTCTCTCACACACAAGAAGGTACTCGAGAGCATTTCGCAGAAAGCACGTGTGCGTGGTGGTGATGCTAACAGAAAGCACGTGTGCGTGGTGGCGATGCTAACTAACAGAATGCACATGTGTGTGGAGGCGATGCTGCACGTGTGCGTGGTGTCGATGCTAACAGAATGCATGTGTGCGTGGTGGCGATGCTAACAGAAAGCACGTGTGCGTGGTGGTGATGCTAACTAACAGAAAGCATGTGTGCGTGGTGGCGATGCTAACTAGCATCACCAAGTGCAGACACTTTTGGAAGTTGCTGACGAAGTTCCTCAGGAGTGCTGTTGCATCTACTGGTAGCTTCTGGAACCTGTTCTCTAACTCCACCTGCTTGGGAGTCTTTCAAACTTGTACTTCCATAAAGTCCTCTCCTCATTAGTAGTTAGAGTCTGCAACTGGAAAGGGCATGTTTTTAATCTGCAGCTAAGGTTTTAAAGAGGAGCAGGTTGAGAGACAAAAGAGAGAGGAGCTGCTGAGAGCACATGGCTACTAACCTGCTTCATCTCATTAGTGAAGTACACGTAAGTCAACGCCACAGACAGGGCTTGCAGGAGCACTTGCAGGAGCACCGTGCAGATCACCATCATCCAAAAGTGCTGGCCGAAGCCGGGGCTCTTCACGGTCCTCGTGGAGGGCATGGTCATGTCCAGGTCTGACTTCCCAGAGCGGCAGTGCAGCCCAGCAGCAACTGGAAAGCCCTCAGTCCCCTGTAGTTGCTTTTCATTGTTGATAGCAAAAGTGAAACTGACTTTACCGCAAGCAGAGTTAGTGAAAAAAACGAGATTGTATCTACCCAGCTCAGGAGCTGAGGACGGAGGTCACTCAAAAATTCTCCCCAGTCACCCAATAAAAAACTGTGGCGTGGGTTTCAAGCAAAACACAGTGGTGCTCAGTCTGACTGCCTTCAGGCAGACCGTGGCAGGGCTCAGTCTAACTGGAGTCCACTCCCTGCCCTTCCTATACTAGTATCGCTCTGCCAGACTAAAGTCCCAGGCTTTGACACTGGAGAAAACGTGTTTTCAGGAGGGTGAAATGAATAACTCATGACTGGCTCTCAGGAGGTGCCTAGTAAATACAGACTAAGAGGGCGGAGCCACAGCCTGCTTGTCAACCTAAGATTTGATGGACAGTAGGTATGGATTCCAAAAGAAAAAGAAGCGTATCTGAGTGAATTAGAGGGGTTTTACCCACTCCCAAACAAAAACCATCCAGGGGGCCGGAGCGATGGCTCAGCTGCCCAAAGCACTGTGATGTTAGCCTGAGGTCCTGAGATCCACGCCCGGAACCCACGGTAGAGGAGAGGACAGACTCCCCAAAGTTGTCCTCTGACCTCCACACACACTCTGTGGTACACCCAAGCCTGCACCCAGACACATTTAAAATAAGAGCATTCACCATAGCCTAAGATGGACAGGAAGAACCAATAAATGCTGTGGTCAGAGAAAGAACAACCCGAAATAACTGGCTAATCGTATTAATATATGTAATTCAATACATTCAAAATGCCATGAGTGCCAACATGTAACCAATATACGTGTCTCTATAGTGAGGTTAGGAACGTAGCATGAGGACCTGGGTTTAATCCCAAGAATTACAAAATAAATACAAATAAGGAAAACAGGAATACGTGTGTTTATTTTACACTTCAGTGTATGTCGATCTTAACACTAACTCTTCATCTGAAACACTTGATCTGCATTTAGACTTTTCGATTTTCATTCCTTAGTTGTGGCGCATTTCAAAAAATTTTCAATAATTATATCGAATATGAGTCTTTAAATTAAAATTGAAGCTGGAGGATCAGAAGTTAAATGTCATCCGAGTAGCAAGTTCAAATCAAACCTGGGAAACATGGCTATCTTCAATTTTTTTAATTGAATAAAACTAAAAAATTAGTCTCTTAGCCATCCTAACCAGATCTTAAGTGCTCAGTACCTGCCTGTGACTAACACAGGCTGTTTACACAGCACAGCCACAAAGGCACAGTTTGGTGTTGCCCAGTGAGGCCTGCTTTCAGAGCCTTTGAGAAGTAGTTCTCCACTGTGGTCCTGGAATTAAACTTCCACCTTCTCTTCCGGACAGTCTCCCACTGAACCTGGAGCTTGCCTCGGGGATCTTCCTGCCTCTGCCTCCCAGGCACTGGGATTACAGCCACATACCACCAGGGCCACCTAGGAGTGCTGGGAATCCATGCTTACACACAAACACTTTACCAACTGAACCATCTTCCCAGCCAAAACCGTTACCACTTTTTTTCATCTCAGGAGCTTAAAATGATGTTTCCATTTTGCTTTTGCTTTTTACACTTTTTGATTATTGAAATCAATAGTAACCTTTGTGACATGTAAAAATAACATAAATCAAATAGCCATATTCCTTTGCTAGTGTATTAATAGCCATATCTGTGTTTTTACTGCTTTTATAATAGTATTTTTATTCTTTGACAGTTTATACAATGACATAGTCAATTTCAGTTGTCAACTTGACATCCCTGAAGTATGGAACCTCAATTAAAGAAGTGGTTCCATTGGACTGCCCTCTGGGAATATCTGTGGGACATTTTCTTGATTGCTAATTGACATGGAAGGACTCAGGCCACTGTGAGCAGGTGAGCCTGGGCTGTATAAGAAAGGCAGCTGAGCAAGCTAGGGAGGCAAGCTAATAAGCAACTCCCTTCCATGGTCTCTACTTCAGTTCCAGCCTTGGCTTGCCTCAGAGATGGACTTCAGCCAGAAGCCAGATAAACTCTTTTCTCCTCAAGCTAGTTTTGGTCAGCATTTTATCACAGCCAGGAAAACAAACCAGGACAGACAGCATATCCTGTGTCCATATGTCCATCTACCACTGCCTAGGAAAGCAAACCAGGACAGACAGCATATCCTGTGTCCATATGTCCATCTACCACTGCCTAGGGAAGCAAACCAGGACAGACAGCATATCCTGCGTCCATATGTCCATCTACCACTGCCTAGGGAAGCAAACCAGGACAGATAGCATATCCTGTGTCCATATGTCCATCTACCACTGCCTAGGGAAGCAAACCAGGACAGACAGCATATCCTGCGTCCATATGTCCATCTACCACTGCCTCTCTCCTCTAGTGCTACCACCACCTCCCTTCCAGCTTCATGTCCTCTTTTTATTTTTTATTAATAACCCTCTGAGTCCAGTTAGTGCTGCGGATATGCACATGAGTGTGTGGCCATGCACAGGGTCATGAGCAACCTGCCAGCCACCACAGCCCCCAAAGAGAGTAACTGTCCCCTCCTCAGCAGGCATCAACTGCCAATGCCTTTGCTGATAGGGTGGGATTTCAACAGCTCCAGCCCCCTCTTTGCTGGAATTTTTTCAGCATAATAGTTTTATTGATTATTTGGGTATTTCACATAATTCACCCCGATCACTCTTACTTCCCTGTCCTCCCAGGTCCTTTCCCAACCCTTGCAACACCGTTCCCACAAAAAAACAAACAGAAGTCCAATTTGTGTTTCTTATATACTCACTGGAGCATGGTGACACTCCCAGTGGCCAACCCCTTAAAGAAAACTGAGTCCTTCCCCACCTGTACCCTACCAGACGCCATTAATTATGGAGAGCTACCCTTCAGCATCCCTGTCACAGTTTGTTTTGTTTTGTTTTGAGACAGGGTTTCTCTGTGTAGCCCTGGTTGCCCTGGAACTCACTCTGTGCCTACACATGCTGCAAGCATTCTGGCGTCTGTAACCAAATGTTTGTATCTTGGTGTGTGTGAAGCCAAAAAAGAATGACCAAGACACAGAGTGGAGAATGGTCCATTTCCCGACACAAGTAAGAACAGCATGGCATTTGTTTCCAAAGCAATGTCCTTTTTCAATAAAGAAAGCATAGGGCTGTTATGTGGGAAGGTCATACAGATTCACACAGAAAACTGCTTGGGTGGTGGACACATTCCTGCATGTTCAGTTCAAGACATACAGTACTGGGAATGTTCAGTTAAAGATCATAGTTTAAAAAGAAAAGATGGCAGCTGGAGAGATGACTTAGCAGTTAAGAATGCTGTGCAATCACAAAGACTAGAGTTCAGATCCCAGCACCCATGTAACAAGTCAGACACTCACATGTGCCTATAACCCCAGCTCCAAGGCACCCTACCTGTGCCTATAACCCCAGCTCCAGGTAGGGTAGAGACAGGGGGATTGCTGGGGCTTGCTGCTCCCAGACTTGCTGAGAAAATGAGTCCTGGGTTTAGGGAGAGACCTTGCTTCGAGGGAATAGATGAGGACAAAGACATACACATCCACACATCATTTTCCCTTTGTTTTGTGTTCTTGAAGCAAAGTCTCACTATGTACCACAGGCAAGGCTCAGATTTACAATCGTCCTGCCCCAGCTTCCCTAACTCAGGGATTACAAACACGTGTCTGCACACTGTATATTCTGTAACCTTCTACCTAGTTCCTCTATCAAGTCTTTCCGAAGCATTTAGCTTCATGTTTTGAGGAACAACTCACTGGCTGCCATAATATTTAACTGAATCATGTGATGTCATCAAGTAGCATATTCAGTATGGGAGTCCTTGAACTCTTGCTAGAAGTATAGGTTGGTACAGAAAGACATTAGCGTCTAGAGGGTAGTTTCAAGCCATCTGTATTCAGACTTCAGCCTGTAGACTGTGCAAACATAAAAGAACTAGTTGTGAGTCACCTTGCCGGAAGTCAGAACAGAGGTCTGTTGGTGTAGTCTATGCTTTTGTATACTTTCCTGGATGCCCTGTTATAAGAATGCCAGTGACATGAGAGGATGACACCTTTGTCACATATGCTGTAAGCAGCTCCTGCCACAGAGCCTGGCTCACTGTGCACACCATACATGATGAGTAGACATGAGACTCTCTGCAATCTCCAGGCTCTTTCCCTGCAGAGTGGTTACAAATGTGGGGCTCTTTAGCCCCCCTTTCAAAGTGTAAAAAGAAAGCTCTCACTTGCTTCTCTGTGCATGAGTTCCCATACGTAAGTGCTGCAAGCTGAAAAAATATACAAAGTAGGATTTCAACTGATTATGACAAAGCTAATACCTGGAAGAAGCCAAGGGCCTTGGTGATATTTGGCTTTTGATTATCAGCTGTTTTCTGCTGTGAGTTTCTTGTGTGCTATTGTAGCTTTTCCAGCATTTATTGGGCACCATTTCCCCTCTTCTAAAGGAATATTTAGATAACTTTCTGCACTGACAGCTATGCACAGCCAGAACCCCACTTCAAGCCTCCCTGTAATTATCGTCATTGGCAGCATCCGGCCAGGTCCATCCCCAGATGGAGGAAAGTACTTATCAGAGATACCTCTGTACTCTCTAAGAACAGACTTAAGCATCCAGACTACCTGTTTGAGAAGGCCTGGCGGATGTGCCAATTAAGCTTTACTTCCTTCTTTCCCAAATCTTAACTCTAGTTCCAGATCTCCCTTTAACTATCACCAGAGGCATCTAGCTGTACACAGGTTGCCTAGCGACCAAGCACACCTTCCCCCACCCTGCAGAAAAATGGCAGATAGCTTGAACAGATAGGAGCCACAGGAAAAAAGAAAGCAGTTTTATTTTCTCCCATTGACCTAGCAACTTATAGATTCTTAACATTTTCTACCAATCACGTTTAAGACTATAAGAGCCCTCTTCTTAGATATTACCTGAATTTAGCGTTTAGTTAATTCATTTCCCCATTAGTCACTTCCCTTTGGGTTGCAAATGACAATTAACAATTATTGCCCCTCTTTGTGATTCTTATCACCCCTCCGTTTGACCCTGGAAGCCTGGCTTTGCACTGCCAAGGGATTACTGCTTGTAAGTGTACATATACCAGGACTCCCAGAGCACAGGAGGACAGAGAAGATTTGGAAGAATAAATGACTGGACTAAGAGCTCGGTGTGCTGAGATTCTATTTCGCGAAAATAGTCCTCGCTGTTCCTAGTTTTCTCTCCTGAGCCCCTGGGATGTGTAATGTTAAGGCTGGACCCTCTAATATTATACAAGACG